AGTCACTTATAAAAGTCGAGATGCACTCTTCAAGTGTCTGTGGAATGGCATGGCTTTGATGCACACAGTTGTAGCTATCTTACCCCCGCTTGGGAACATGGTGTAATCATTTTGGAGAGTCAAAGGCACTACAGAATCTGGGAACAAGTCATATTTTCAGGATTTGGAAAGATAGTATGGAGTGTATAAATTTGGAGGACTTTATGAAGAAGCATTTCAGGTCAAGAACAGTTCTTAATATACAAGTACTGACAACCTACCCAGTCCTCCACCTATACTTGTTTACTAATATATTTTTCCTTTTCTTGCCATTATACACTTTTTTGTCATCTTTGCTTGCTGTGTGTGATAGGTTAAACCAGGCCACAGACTTACTGAAAGCTCTTTAATATAAAAGGAATACATTACCCCTAAAAGAAAAAAACAATCACATTACTTCCCTAATGTGAAGTAAAATAAAATATATTCCAGTTTTTACCACTAATGACTACCTTCTAAATCAGTTAATAGGAGAAGTTCACATTAAACTATGAAGTATAATACCAAGGTTCAAAAGAAAACTTTCTAAGATTAAAACAAACAAACAATGGGACTGGACAAAATCATAATGTTGTCTCTCACATGTACACAGAAGAAATACTTATCCTCAAGAGTTTCACTTCTAGGTAAAAAAGGTTAATAATAAATCTTAATAGTGACGCTTATAAATACAACTTACACTTTCCAATACATTACTGTTCAGAAGTATGCCAGATGACATACAAAGCAGAAAAGACACCATTCAAAGGCTGACCATGAACTGCAGTGTCCCAGGTTTTAGGATCATTTTTCAGGGTGCACTGTATATGCAATTTATAGCACAGCAAAGTACTGTGGATATAGAGAAAGGCTGCATACTAATGTATAACGGATAAAAATGTGTTTTGTGTGTGGTATAAAAATGTTGTTGTTGATAATTCTTCATAATGCAATCAGTAATTTTGTTTATAAAGGGCAGTATTTTCCAACTTTTTGGAGCCACAGCACATATTTCACATTAGAAAAACCACACCACCAAACAAAAATGTAACAAAAAACATATTGATAATTTTCTCACGCGCACCAGGTATAGCGGAATTGGCTTGGTTTATCCTCAGTATACCTTTTTACGTTCTTCTGACCACTACTCAAACATTGATATAGGCGTTCTTATATATGCAGCTAGCATGCTGAAAAGGCAAGTGTTTTTAGTTGTCTCTAGGTCTCTGTTCTCCATACCTCATGAACACCTAATATGCATTACATGCATTACACCAAGTCAGCAAAATATTCAGATTCTTCACATTTCCAGGGCATTGAAAAGTGGAATGCTGTCAAAGCTGTTTGCCTTTCTGAATAATGCACAATCACCCCTTTGATATCTGGGTTTAGGCTATAGGAACGTGGGCCTGTCATTCCAAACTCTCCAGATGTTTACACCTGAAAAGAACCCCTTGCTGTCACTTTTAAATACAGTAGCCAACTTTAATTTTCTAACTTGTAGGTTTAATCATTTGCAGGGGCAATATTTTTACTTCAACCACATAACAAAGTATTTTTCAGAGCCTAAACCTAACCAGGTGTAGTGTTACTTAGACTATCAACAAAACATGAATGAAAACCAAAGGAAGCAAAGTTTAAATACACAGCTACAAAAAGGATACAAAATAAGATGTACTGCACTAATCCACTAATGCCAGTGCTGCTTCATCTATTATTCATGTGCACGATATTTCAGCAGTCAAGGCGCATATGGAAAGGGTATATCTGGCACCTCTTTAAAGACATTCGTATCAGAATGTCAACAGGCTGGCAGTAACTGATGCTTTGGGAGGGATCACCTAAAATAATATAGGAATAAAACCAAACTTTCATGGAAACAAGTCTCAACTACAAAAAAGAAAGGAATAACCTTTAGACCTTTATTATAACATTGCTAGTTAATATGGTTAAGTGGCATGCATTATTTTTCCATTGAAGGTATGATTGATTATAATAAACTAGTTTGCAAAGAGTAAACTTTGATTTGGCTTTGGCATTTGTCTGGCAGATGCACATTACCCTGCCATGCCAGCTAAATTAAGCATGAAAATCAAGCTTGGATATAGAATTATAGCTTTAAAAAGGCTACATAAGGACTTGCAGGACTGAAAAATTATCCTTTTTTCTAAAAGTCTGTAAATGTGACGGGCAACTTAAAGAACAAAATTGTATTTTGTCATCATCATCATCATCATCATCATCATCATCATAATAATAATAATAATAATAATAATAATAATTATTATTGTTATTGTTGTTGTTGTTGTTGTTGTTATTGTTATTATTATTATTATTATTATAGGGTCTTTATGTTACAATATAAGGCATCCTTGAGGTGACTGTGTTTTTGATTTGGCACCATACGAATAAAACTTAAAATTGGAAAATTGAACAATAATGTTTAGTGTGTGGCTCTCACTCTTAGTGCTATAACATAGACGTGAAAGTGAGAATTTTGGGGGGGTCAAGGAATTCATTTCTGACTCCAGAACAAACTATACAAAAGGAGTGAGTCTTGGAAGTAAGAAATATCAGATTACATTATTTTGATTTTACATAATAAAGTGGTAATAATGAACATTCACACTTCTATTACTTAAGAAGTTCCCTTTTTACCCAAGCCAAAGTGAGGGAAGAATGTCAAGGACTCTGTTCCTATCCGAAAAGTCATTTGATTTAAATTTGTGATAAATGCTTTTCTTTTTTCTTTTTTTTCCTGAGCACTGTCTTATCTATGCGCCCTCATTATTTGATCCTTATTTATTAAGGTCAGTGAGATATTATCTTGCTGAGGTAGAAACTGTATTTGTGGACTAAGGGGAAGGAGAGAGAATCGTTTTAAAAAAATTCAAGGTACCGTACCAGAAATCGAAACTTTTTCAAAATCTACAAGTATGCAATTATACTAAGCAACATTTATATAAGAAATGCACCCAAAACATAATACTTTGCAGGGGATGTTACATTTGCAAAAACGGTATAAACATCTCAATTCAACGTCTGCATAACAATGATCGCATGGCATTTTGAACATCCACTGACTGACTCTACATTGGAGTGAGTGTTTCTTTACTGTTACTCATTTTTACTTTTGTCTCCCGTTGATTTAACATCTCCTTGATTACTTCGTTTTTTTCCATTTTGTCAGTCATGCATATAAAACTAGGGCTACAATTAAAAGCATACTTTACAACAGGGCAATAGCCCTGATCAATGTAAATAGTTGACCTGACTGGATACCTCCCTGGACTTTTTAGGGGGAGGTAACAATGTTTAAAACGATAACAATAATATTTATATTTATAACAAGGTGCAATAATAATTAATGTGCAATAATAACAGTGTGCAATACACATACACTTATTCTTCTTTTTTATACTAAGTTAATATACTGTGTTGTGTTGTTTGTTACGTTGTGATGTGTCATATCGTGTCGTGTTGTGTTATATGTAGTGCCGACGTAGGACAGTTTTTCCAATTTCATTGTACTACTGTACTATGTATGACTGTGCAATGACAATAAAGAGTTATCTTATCTTATCTTATCTTATCTTATACTTATTGATTGACTGTCACAGGCTTCTAACGGATGATCACTGCTACCAGTGAATTTCAGAATAAATCATTCCATTAACTTTCATTATATTGATTATAACTGATTTTGGTGACACTAAAAGGCTTTAATAAGAAGCCAATCATGAAAAAAATCACACTCCATTAAACAATGTCTTATAGCAGCAGCAAGGAGTAAGCATTACTGTCTTTGTCTGTAATCTTACTTGAGTATCTTGAGGGGAATCGAGGTATCTTTGATGGCAACGATGACACCACCGTGGTCCAGATACAGGATATGATGCTCCTCCTCAAACACCTTTCAAAAGCAACATGTTTAGAAATAACAAAAGGCATGACAGTCAAAGACTAATAAACAATTTGAAATGATAGATATAATATACTTTTTTATCCTCTCAGATTCTCCTCAGTGGAAAGCTGAAATGGTGAGGTCAGAATGGGAAGAGTGAAGCAGTATAAAAGAAGAATTAAGAGAGAGGATGTGTACCTGTCTCCACGTCTTTCCGCAGTCTGAAGAGATATACATTTCTTCCTTATACTCTACTAGCTTGGAGCCCAGGTTACCTGAAGGCACAATGAGGAATGGAGAATTTTATCAGGTATGAAGTGAGCCTTCATGTGGGGCAGGCAACAATAACGGATTCAAACTGTGTTAGGGATGCTAGAAAGGGAATACCTGAAGAGACAAAGTCACAAAGGTTGAGCACTCCTCCTTGAGAACTTTTTATTGCTGTGTGTGGGTTTTTTTTTTGTTTGTTTGTTTTTTACATTTGGCCAAAAGGAGAGAATATGTTTGAATTCTGAATCTGCCAAAATTAGCTAAGATATAAAAAAGGATTTATCTCTTTCTCTGATCAAAGCTGGAGGCGTATATTTGAATATCGGAATAGATTTTCTGATTTAGTAAAGTTACGCTTTAAACCCGAATATCTTAAGGGTTTAGAGTTTGTACTTCTTTTTTAAATTAAAATGTAGCTACAATGTGTGTGCTTCAGTAACACATCACTAATTTTAATAACTTTTTTGGTAATGTTGTTGCTATAAAGTTTCCAGACAACCAGTGAAGACCCCAACAGGTTATACAGACGTATGATGTATGTTTTGTGAAAAATTAATTTAGCCAATGAAGATGTCACCCACTGGTTTCTGGACTAATTCGGAAGGTTAAAGGTTCTTTTTTGGTTATTTTTTTCAGATATCAGTGGAAGAGTGCTGGAGAAGTGGGCAGCCCTGGTACCTCCTAAATAAGAGTCCTCGTATTTAGGAGCCAGGTTAAGGCAGGTACTTAAGGGGCCAGGATGTCTCCTTCTCCAGGCCTCTGTCATCTTCCCCCCAACCTATGAGGGTCATACACGATTCCAGTAAGGACCCGAGGTGGTATACCGTAGGCTATGGTTATAGGGCCATACACAGTCCAAAATCAACCAGAATCGGGTTTGCCTCGGGAATTTGGTTGAAGCATGGTGGGTGAGTATTAAGTGTGTGAATGGGAATGTGCAAATGTAGTACCACTTAAATTAAATATAAGTGCAAAACAATGACTACAACTATGCCTTACAGTATGCATCCACTGATTCTAAGTACAGATTGGACAGAATAATAAGTTAGTGGGGCAATATCTGACGGTGTGCTCTGAATGCTGATGTGAGGTCATGTGATACTGTAGAGAGGGACACTTGTGTTGGTGAAGAGAACACCAGTTGCTGGTGGTGAAGAGCTGCTGGGAAATGGCTTTTCAGGCAGCCCATTACAAACCCATACCTGGCCTGTAAACTATGAAAAGAATAGGCCTGATTTTACTGGCATTTGTGCTAGTGCAACACTAGCATTTGTGCTAGTGTTGCCTATCCTGTCCTGAATGCCAGCTGGTTAATCCAGTGTCTATGCCAAAATCACCTCGACACCTCCTAACCCTCATGGAAGTCCCAGTCAAGTGTATTATTATGAACTTACACAAGGTAAGAGCTTTATTACAGGGGACCAAGTCAATTCAAATGAACTTATTCTGCTCTACATAAATAGACAAGAGCCTATTTAGGTCACACATATTCCCAAGTGGGGATTGTTTATTATGAAGTTGTGTGAACTGACAGAGGCAGAGCAACTTAGATTTACCACTTCAACTTCCTAAAAGCATGGAAGAAGGCGAAGCTTGTGTCTCTGGTGAGCTAGGTGAACGTGCTTCCCTGTGATAACCATCTCTCACCGGCTGAGAGTGCATATATAGCTAAGTTGCAACTGAACTATATCTGATGGCTTTCTCTGGGGCCAGGTTGCACTAACCTCATAAAGTATATTTTGGTAACTTTCCCAAGGCTGTCAGTTCAGTTACAACCCTATAGGCTGCAAAAACACCAAAGCAAAATGGTTCTCAAAGAATTGAAGGCAATGCTGGAGATGGGGCATATAAGAGTCACTCAGTTTCTGATATAGTCCCATTGTTCTTGTTGTGGTTGTCTAAGGGTGGGCCTAGCTTGGAGAGCATGGCACACCTTGATGCAGCTCAGTGTCCTGTGGTAACTGTGGGCAGGGATAGCTCAGTAGGTAGAGTGGTGGCCCCATGATCGGAAGGTCGGGGGTCGATTCCCCTGAACAGCTACCCTGAGGTACCCCTGAGCAAGGTACCATCCCTACACACTGCTCCCTGGGCGGCCAATGGCTGCCCACTGCTTCACTGAATGAATGGGTTAAATGCAGAGAGGAATTTCCCCACGGGGATCAATAAAGTACACATTCTTTCTTTTCTATATAAATAAAATTCAATTCAAAAACTATACTGTGTGTCTTTGTTTCTGTGAGAGTTTTTTTTTTTTTAAGCAGAAATGGGCTTTAGTAGAAAATCAAAAGTGTGACTTAAATGGCTTGTTTTCTCTTTTTCACAAACAGACACAGGCAGCTTACTCACTGACTTAATTTCATTTTCAAGCCTTTTTTGCTTTCTGTCAGCAATGCCCCCACAAAGACAAATATAGTAAAGTATCCAATAAATAAAATTGCTGGCAGTTTAGTAAACTCCACCTTGTGTAAAAGTCCCCAGGCATGAAGCAGTGTGGCAGCAGTTTTATACTCCACCACTGCACAGACAGAAAGGAACAGCCAAAGCTTTTCCCTTGGTAAATTAACTGTATTTTTTCTCTGGAGGAAAGGGGTTTTCTTGCCTAACCATGCAAACTCTTTACATAAATATTGTGCAAAAATCTTGAGCCACACCTTATTTCTTTATATTTTGATAGGAAAATGGGAAATTGCTGGGAAATACAATATAAAAGAAAAAAAACTCAAATTTGTTCAGTTGTAACAAACTTTATTCACCTTTATTCTTCAGCACAGCCTGAACTCTCTTAGGCAAGCTTTCTTTTTGTCATTCCTTTAAGTTGCCTTCAGGAATAGTTCTCCTTGATTCTTGAAGGACATTCCAAAGATCCTTTTGAGATAGTGGCTGCTTTTTCTCTGTTCTCTGCTAAGATGACCCCACACTGATTCAATTACATTGAGATCTTAGCACTGGGGAGGCCAATACATGACTGGTAACGTTTCATTGTGGTTTTTTTATAATTAGGTATGTTTTTACTGCATTGGCAGTTTGTTTGGAATACTTGTTACACTGAACAATAAAGCCATCTGTGATGGTTTGGTACTGAGTGCCTGGAAAGCAATTGGCTAATGGCCAATCATTTTTCAGCCCGATAATTATCCCAAACCCACTTCCAATGCTGTAAAAATATACCTGGATAGAAAAACGCACAGTTGAACACTATCACACATGGAACCCAGAACTTAACATTACTGAAGCAGTGTGGGAAAGGAAAAAAAGGCAGCTAACATCCTTGGAGAGTTTAGGCTGTGCGGAAGAATAAAAGGTAGTCATCTCGAATCTTGACTTTCAAGCTAGACAAAATTGTACAAACTCTGGGTTTTGCCTTTTAAATTATATTTACATGATATTGTATTTGTACAGGTTTCAATAGATCGCTACATTGGCAAATGAAGACTCAAGACTATTTCATTGGATGGATGGCATGGATAGACTTTTCCATCTCACTGTATATTAGGGGCTTGCTGCTGTACTGCTTCCATGTCACTCTACCCATCCTCCTCATTCACACCAGCCCTTTGCATGTCCTCCATCACACCATCAGCAAATCTTCTCTTTTGATCTTCTTCTCTTCCTCCTGCCTGGCAGAGCCATATTTAATATTCTTTATCCAGTATATCCACTATCCCTCCTCTGCACATGTCCAAACCATCTCAGCCTTGGCTCTCTGTCTTTGTCAACCTGAGCTGTCCCTCTGATACACCGATCTACTCTGATATACCGTAAGTTTCGGGCTATAAGGCGCTACTTTTTGCACAAGCTTTGAACCCTGCGGCTTTTAGTCAGGTGCGGCTTTTCTATGGCTCGTCCATGATTTTTGTGATATCGTAAGACGATTGTTTTGGTTGTTCCGCTGTTGTATGGCACTACGTTGCCTGGCGGAAGGGCATGTGATCAGACACACAAGAGTACAAGGGTACAAGAGTGGTACACTGGTCCCATGTCCGTCCGCCAGGCAACGTAGTGCCGTATGAAGTAGCGCGAAAAACAAACTTGATTAGCAAGGCTCTCAGCGAGGGAAATAGAGCTGCTGCACGTACCCTTGGTATAAACGAATCAATGGTGAGACGCTGGAGACGCCAGCGTAACAAACTAGCTCAGTCCAAAAAGACGAAAAAAGCTTTCAGAGGAAATAAGAGCAGATGGTTTAAACTTGAAGACTGGATGAACACACAGAGAGCAAACGGATTCCTTCCCCCCAAAAAAGCGTTGCTTGTTTTGGACAGCATGAGGGCCCATATCACAGATTCTGTGAAAGCAGCCATTAAGAGCACAAACTCGATTCCAGCTGTGATTCCTGGAGGCACAATGAAGCACCTGCAGCCACTCGACATAAGTGTGAATTGTGCGTTCAAAGTAGCACTACGCGTTCAGTGGGAGGCGTGGATGATGAGCGGCGATAAATCATTCACCAAAACTGGTTGCATGCGAAGAGCAAGTTTTGCCCAAGGCTGTCAGTGGATTCTGACAGCATGGAGAAGTGTGAAAACATCCACGATCACCAACAGATTTTGAAGGGCTGGACTGCTGCGTGATGGAGAGGGGGACACCGCCATGGCCCTTCAGAGGGTGTTCAACTCCGACACTGACAACGAGGATTTCTTTGGTTTTGAAAGCGACAACGAAAGAGAGAAGCGGAGAGTGGATGACGAAGCCATCCTGAGCCTGTTTGTTTCCGACACTGGAGAAGAGGACTTTGGTGGTTTTAGTGCGCAGGAAGAAGAGAAAGATGGTGGTGAATGACTGACTTTTCTTCTTGTTAAAGCCGTGTTACTGCACCTAAGCCTAAAAGGTAGGCCGAATCTATTTTTCTGGTGATTGTTAGGTCATTGTTATACACTACATTTGTTACTCGTTTATAAAGCACAGTACATGTTTCGTACTTGTAATTACCTGTACTTGTATATATTAATCAAAGGGATGTGTTCCCAAACAGCCATCTCTTTCCTGATAATCGCCTTTGTGCATATTCTCTTACATATGGTAAGTAAACATTAAAACACCTGCGCCTTTCAGTCAGGTGCGGCTAATGTATGTACAAAACAGAATTTTCCCCTGATTTTAGCTTGTGCGGCTAATATTCAGGTGCGTTTTGTAGTCCGGAAAATACGGTACTCATTTCTAATCTTGTTTATCCTGGTTACTCTCAATGAAAACCTGCTCCCTACTCTCACTATAGATCAAAATGTTGTCTGCAAACATCGTAGTCCACAGAGACTCCTGCCAGACCCCAACCTGACTCAGACCTCAATCACCACAGAAAACAAGAAGGGGCACACAGCTGATCCTGGATTTAATACCACAGCCACCTTGAACCCCTCTGTAATTCCTATGACACATTTTGCCATTGTTTTGCTGTCCTCATACATCTCCTGCACCACCCTCACATACTTCTCTGCAAATCCCAACTTCGTCTCAGCACCCTATCATACACTTTCTCTAAATCTACAGAGACACAGCCAACCCTTCTAGAAAATTCAAGAAACAAGTTACATAAAGTGAAAACAAGTGGAGGAAGCTCATAAAAAATTACATAAATAAAAATAGGTTTACTTACCAGCACCCATAATAAGACCGGGAGCAGAGTCTTTGGTGTGGACAGTCCCAGACACATAGGGGTTGTCTGCCCAGCGCAAGTGGAGGTGGAGGTGACAGTCCGGCTGCAGAGGAGACACATGTAGAAAGAACTTAGGAAGCACTCAGATCCACCCACCAAAACAATGTTCAATGTGGCCCAAAGTACTTAGAGTAAAATAGTGGGTCTACTGAATACCGGAGCACTCGCTCAGCAATATTTAATGAGTCTTACGACAGATACCTGATTATCCCACTGCAAACTAATCGCAGTTCAAAAGGGTTTTAGTTCTGTTAATCAAACTGTATTTGTGACAGATATTTAATGAATGATAATTCATTTCAAATATGAGAATCAGAGTGGAGAGTCACCAGTGCAAACGTTAGGCATTTTATGAATTACATTTCCACTTGTTGCTTCAAACCCTAATGCCGAGGATGTTGACGGCAGTTTCAATAGAAATGTATTGTTTTGCACAAAAGATTTTCATGAACTGTTTCTGATAATATATCAAAAACCAGTGTTTACAAATAGCTGGAAAGCAAGTTTGATCTATAAGAACCTGAAGACTTGTTGGTTGCATCAGATCATTACTCACCAAGATCCATCTCTGTTTTATGAATTACAAACAGTATATTACATCACTTTGGCTCATTCCAAAATAGGGTTTTCAGTATGCTTTCTCATAGATTCCAAAGCAGTGAAGACAAATTGTTGGTTAGGTAGCACAGGACATATTCTTCAGCAGTGTAAGTTAAGTACCATCAGAGGTGTAGTGCTGTTTGTCTAAACACTGTTTTAAAAAATGTTAGTGTGTCTGACTTTACCTGTACCAACTCTACCTACAACTAGCTGTTTTACAACTACTCTTTCAAGAATTTCTGAAATAAAAAGAAGGCTGGCGATTGGCCTATAATTAACTAAAACAGCAAGTGCTGGCTTTTTAAGTAATGGTTTAATTTTTGCCACCTTAAAAGCCTGTGGCATGTAGCATGTTACACTGATCACATTTAAGATCGACGCAATCATTAATGGTAGGAGTTTTATAGGAATGGGGTTTAAGAATGGGAACAAATTAACCTTTTATATCCTATGTAATTTTGCCAGTGTCTGGCTATATGTGCTTTGTGCAGAATTGCTCAGTAAATATATAAAAATCTTTTAGCATCTGCACATTTCTTTGTGGTGCTTCGTGGAGCACGCAAACTACAACACACCGCATTCCGAAACGATAAACCTCTCCTGTGTATAGAGGTCATTTCTCTTAACCAGTCTCTGTCAGGTAATGGCTACAGCTGACAGCACGTGCCTGTTACACTGACATATAGATAGTAGATAGTACATCTGCTATCTGGCTTTGTCTATCTCTGTGAGTTGTGATGTCAGTGAGGCAATACATGTGATGTCAGCTTTTGAAATAAAGCCGCCTCTCTGACTGATAGATGTAATAACTGGAATCCAGGCAAGGTAATTCTGTTGAGGTATGGAAGAGGCTAAAGGGAAGAGAGGTCAATATCAGAGCGACCAACCACGGCTCAGAGATGGTAAATGAGTCTCAAACTGATATCTGTGTCCTACCTCCAGATGTGTCAGCTGACTGAAGCGATGGTTCAAATAAAAGAACAGACTCACACCCCCTCTATCTCCCTGCGAGGTATGATGTATGGATATCAGACTGCGGGTGACTCATTGCTCTTTGCTGACTAGCCTACCCCTGCAGCAGCAACTTTGACAAGATGGATGGCAAAGCTAGGAGGGCATCTCAAACACATCCTTCAATGTACAACACTCATCCTTCCTTCGCTTACTTTATGCTTACACTCTGAACAACCTAGTCAACAGGTCTGAACAGTCTGATTGATTGCTGCTTGTGCAAGATTGCATCTGCACTTCAGTTTATAGATACAAAGTCTAAGCCAAGTGTCTACTACTACTATGTACAATGTGCATGACTATGTGCAGTACTAACGTACTCTGTAAAAATCTGTATTGAGTACAGACTAGTTTGGTTAGATGGATGCTTACCGCTTTGCAACTGACAGGTTTGCCATTCATGTCAGTGGTAGGTGGGGCCAAGGGTTCCCAGTCACGTCCTTTGTTGTAAGTTATTACAGTTGCCACTCTTCCATCAATTTTCTGGTTTGCCAAGAAGACTCCTTTGATTCCACGTACCTGACAGAATGAGATAGATTTTTCATAGCTTGGGTTAATTTTGCAAAAAGTTATTTCTGTTGCCCTTTTAAAGAAATCTTTGAACATGATGCAAGTCATTTTGAAAAAAAAAAGTGGTATATATGTAACTACTGCTTAATCTTCTGTCAGCTGCTCCCTCTAGGGCAGGGGTGGGGGAACTCCAGGCCTCAAGGGCCGGTTCATTACTTGGCCTCTGGAGAACTTCAAGACATGTTGAGGAGGTAATTTAACCATTTAAATTAGCTGTGTTGGGTCAAGGACACATCTAAAACCTGCAGGACACTGGCTGTCGAGGCCTGGAGTTCCCCTACACCTGCTATAGGGGTTACCGCAGCAGATCATCTCATCCTATCCCTAGAAGGTCACCCCGAATGACAATCTTAATATATTCTACCATCTCTATCTCTGCCTCCTGTCTTTTTATTAATGTCACCATCTCCAAAACATACATCATACTAGGTCTCAGTACCCTCTTACAAATCTTTCCTTTCATTGTGTTGATGCATGCTCAATCATCCAGGTAAGGAATTCCCCCAAAACTGATTCTGGATGATCATGTTTACTGTAAACCAACACATACCAGTATGTAAGATTTGATCATTATCATCCACTGGAGCACAAACTGGGTGTCATCAGGGCTATACAACACAGAGTGAACACAATCCCCACGGATACAGCAGCCAGGGAAGCAAGAATCACTTGGATGTGCGAGGAAACATTTTTCCCACTGAAAAAATTACGTCCAGATGAACAGAATCAACTTTATGGGCTTTCCTTTCATTCTTTCTACCTCTCACAGAACAAGAATTTATGTTAACTACTAAAACAAAATGTGACACAGATGCTAAAATAAAGACAAAGTTGTAAATTCAATCAGCTGACTGACAGCAGCTTAACATTGGCTAATACTAAGCTAGAGGTCATGTAAAACAAATTAGGCTGTATTAGCCAAACCCTTGTATGTAGTTCAACAAGCAAAGGGAATGTTCTCTTCCAGCTGAGTCACTCAGTAGAACACATGTAGTATGGGATATCTCGCAGGATCTTTTTGGTGTAGTGGAAGTAGATCTTTTTGCTTTGCTCACTGCCCCTACTTCTCCATAACCAACTATTATTGCACCTCTGGGGATGAATGCGATAGCGCATGTTCCTTGACATGTTCCTGTATGCCTTTCCCCCAAAGGAAATGATACCAGTAATTCAAGAAAGAGTGTCTCAGCACTGCCTCTCTCAGATTCTAGTGGCCCCTTGGTGACCAGCAAAGCTGTGGTATGCAGAGATAATCAGTGTGTTGGCAGTGAGGCCGTCCTCTCTGCAGGACCTCCTCTCTCAGGTGGGAGGGGAGGTGATTCATCCATGCTCAGAACTATGGCAGCTGCATACTTGCCTGTTGAGAGGTCAAACTTGGTAACCAGGTCTTCACCCACATGTGGCGGCAAAAATTTAGAGTGCTGGAGCTTCATATACTAGAGGCTTGTATGCGTACAAACAACAGAACTTTGAGCAATGGAGCCAGAACCAACGCATTCTCCTATTCCAGTGCTCTATTGTGGATGTTTTAAAATTCCTGCAGGGACTGCTGGATAAAGGTCTTACCTTTTCTATCATTAAATTTTTTTGACATCTATATGTGCTAATCATAATTGCTTTAATGGGGGTCACAGCAGGTATACAGTGCACCAACTGAATCTTTAAGTCTGTATATATGAAGTTCCTTTCATATAAGACTACGTTGCTTCTTGCTTTGGGTTCTACAAAGCCAGTGGGTGACATTCATGCTTTGCCTTCTTGAACACTGTTTTCTGTTGGCCTCAGAGTTATACTATGTATGAATGTAACATTTAGCTAAGGTTATTCCTGTGGCTTGTAACTCTCTGAAATTTGAGCTTCTGAGTTTCTGCCTCCTTCCTTTGGCTTCTGAGGAGCAGAGGAGGCTGCTTTTTCTGTGTCTGGTGTGAGTACTGAATATATACATTGACTGCACTCAGAATGTGTGTTTATCTGACCAGTTGATTGCCTGCTTTGCTAATCCAGCCAGTAGTAGAGCTCTGTCTAAACAGAAGCTCTCCCAGTGGATTATGAAGGCTTATTGGCATAACGCTCCAAGAGTCTCTCTTTGCCTCTGGGTGTGAGAGCACATTTTATTTATTATTATTGTATTATTTTAGGTATTTATTCTGTTATGTTGCCCGGTCTTATAATAGAATACACCTTGAGGCGACTGATGATTTGGGGCTAAATAAATAACGCTGAATTGAATATGAGGTAATGAATGAGAATTGGGAAATTCAGGGGCTCTTTTTAAAGGGGTCATTGTGGATGATATTTATGCTGCAGCTAGTTGGTCATCACTGCAAACATGTTCAATTCTATCACTTAGAAGTGATCGCTCCTTCATTACCTTATTTTGTCCTTTCTGCTTAGTCTACAATGCACTAGGTCCCACTTAGGTCTGGTGGCTGCTTTCCGGGGCCTGTATATATTTCCCACACTATATGTGTTGTACCAAGTAAAATGACTGAAAAGGAACAAAGTGTGATGTCTGTAACTTCTGTTCCCTCAAGGAGCAGAATGAGGTAGACTTTCAGGATACTCCTCTGTGTAGCATAGCTCAGTGAAGGGCAGCTACAAAACTGAGGGATGACTGCGATGACAGGGTTGTGTAAGTGTGGGAAGAGCTGTGCATATGTCATCACATCATCTGCCTTAAAGGTGTGAATACAGGTGTCTTTGGCCAGGGCATGCAGGGGTGTGATAACCCACAATATACAGTATGTGTTTTACCTCATTGATGTCCTACAAGGAACAGAAGCTATAGACATTAACACTTTGATTTATTGCTTTTTTATGTGTGCTAGTTCAGTTTTTAATATTACCGGTACTGGTTTTATGTTGTAATCTAGATAAAGGAATCTAAAACTGGAATTTAACGTAACTTTGAATTCCAGAGTCTGAGTCATAATATCAAATAGAATATGCCGTTTAACCATCATTAAGGTTTAAACCACTGGACTGTCAAAGTTTAATTCACAGAAATCAATATCTACTGCATAGTTTTTGTGGCTGTGATATTGTTAGCTTTAGGTTCTGAAGATAAAATATAAAAGACTGAAACAATAATGAACAAAAACATTTAGACCAAGCCAGGCAGCAAATCAAAGTCCATAAGCCTGCCTGTATTCTCTTTGTACGTCTGGCTTCAAACCTCTTCCTGTCTGTATTTTATAGTCCTTCTGCTTCAATCTGTCTTTATTCATCCCACATATATTGTTCACCTCTCTATCTATATCTACAGCCTGTGACGAAAGCGCAGCCCAGAGCAAGGGATGACACATGGGAAGGAGGAGATGATCCACTGCCTATTCTTTCCCCTCTAACGCTCCCTCTCTCTTTCTTCCTCCACCCTTTGTGTCACGTCTTCTGTGCCCATTTATCTGGAGAAATTGGCAAAAGACTCAGGACATACACAAATGAACAACTGCATAGCATAGCTGCCTTGTAATGTGAAAGTTTTCCTGGCATGCTTAATGTGGAGAAGAGTAAGGAATTAACGTTTAACTTGGGTTTATACAGGGAGTGCAGAATTATTAGGCAAATGAGTATTTTGTCCACATCATCCTCTTCATGCATGTTGTCCAAGCTGTATAGGCTCGAAAGCCTACTACCAATTAAGCATATTAGGTGATGTGCAACTCTATAATGAGAAGGGGTGTGGTCTAATGACATCAACACCCTATATCAAGTGTGCATAATTATTAGGCAACGTTCTTTCCTTTGGCAAAATGGGTCAAAAGAAGAACTTGACAGGCTCAGAAAAGTCAAAAATAGTGAGATATCTTGCAGAGGGATGCAGCAGTCTCAAAATTGCAAAGCTTCTGAAGCGTGATCATCGAACAATCAAGCGTTTCATTCAAAATAGTCAACAGGGTCAGCAAGAAGCGTGTGGAAAAACCAAGGCGCAAAATAACTGCCCATGAACTGAGAAAAGTCAAGCGTGCAGCTGCCAAGATGCCACTTGCCACCAGTTTGGCCATATTTCAGAGCTGCAACATCACTGGAGTGCCCAAAAGCACAAGGTGTGCAATACTCAGAGACATGGCCAAGGTAAGAAAGGCTGAAAGACGACCACCACTGAACAAGACACACAAGCTGAAACGTCAAGACTGGGCCAAGAAATATCTCAAGACTGGTTTTTCTAAGGTTTTATGGACTGATGAAATGAGAGTGAGTCTTGATGGGCCAGATGGATGGGCCCGTGGCTGGATTGGTAAAGGGCAGAGAGCTCCAGTCCGACTCAGACGCCAGCAAGGTGGAGGTGGAGTACTGGTTTGGGCTGGTATCATCAAAGATGAGCTTGTGGGGCCTTTTCGGGTTGAGGATGGAGTCAAGCTCAACTCCCAGTCCTACTGCCAGTTTCTGGAAGACACCTTCTTCAAGCAGTGGTACAGGAAGAAGTCTGCATCCTTCAAGAAAAACATGATTTTCATGCAGGACAATGCTCCATCACACGCGTCCAAGTACTCCACAGCGTGGCTGGCAAGAAAGGGTATAAAAGAAGAAAAACTAATGACATGGCCTCCTTGTTCACCTGATCTGAACCCCATTGAGAACCTGTGGTCCATCATCAAATGTGAGATTTACAAGGAGGGAAAACAGTAGCACCTCTCTGAACAGTGTCTGGGAGGCTGTGGTTGCTGCTGCACGCAATGTTGATGGTGAACAGATCAAAACACTGACAGAATCCATGGATGGCAGGCTTTTGAGTGTCCTTGCAAAGAAAGGTGGCTATATTGGTCGCTGATTTGTTTTTGTTTTGTTTTTGAATGTCAGAAATGTATATTTGTGAATGTGGAGATGTTATATTGGTTTCACTGGTAAAATAAATAAAGGCAGCACGGTGGCACGGTGGTTAGCACTGTTGCCGCACAGCAAGAAGGTCCTGAGTTCAATTCCAACATCAGGCCGGGGTCTTTCTGTGTGGAGTTTGCATGTTCTCCCCGTGTTTGCGTGGGTTCCCTCCGGGTACTCCGGCTTCCTCCCACCGTCCAAAGACATGCAGCTTGTGGGGATAGGTTAATTGGATAATCCAAATTGCCACTAGGTGTGAATGTGCGAGTGAATGTGAGTGCGAATGGTTGTCTGTCCCTGTGTGTTGGCCCTGCGACAGACTGGCGACCTGTCCAGGGTGTACCCCGCCTCTCGCCCTATGACAGCTGGGATAGGCTCCAGCGCCCCCCGCGACCCTGAAAAGGATAAGCGAAAGCGAATGGATGGATGGATGGATTGTAAAAATAAATAATTGAAATGGGTATATATTTGTTTTTGTTAAGTTGCCTAATAATTATGCACACACAAAATATCCCCCTAAAATAGCTAAAACTAAAAACTACCAAAAACATTCAGCTTTGATATTAATGAGTTTTTTGGGTTCATTGAGAACATGGTTGTTGTTCAATAATAAAATCATTCCTCAAAAATACAACTTGCCTAATAATTCTGCACTCCCTGTATGTCCCCTGATCACTCAATATGGGTTAGAAGAGCTGTCCAGAAAAAATGACCCAGCTTCCTAAGCTTTGTAGCTTTGCCTGCCACCACCATGACCTGGGCTGGAAAACAGTTTGATTAAAAGATCCAAACGGGGTGCATTAATGGGTGGGTTATAAGGACACAGTGTACCCCTTCTGCAATCAACAGGAATTTTCTGTCATAAAAATAGTTTTTACATTTGGTCCTTTTTTCTCCCTATTTCCCTCTTAAACCCACAGGTCTGCTTACAAAACTCTTTATTTTAATACTGTTTTGTGGAACTATAACAACTTTTTAGCCTGACTTCCTCATAAGGGACACATATAAAAACAGAAGACTTTAAAACATGTATTAAGATTCAGAGTCAAGAAACTGGTGTTTAGTTTAGAAAGGAAACAACAGAGAGACGTTTGAAGTAAGAAACTAATTTGAACATTCGTTTCTCACAACAAAAAGTTAAAGTGCTTCCTAACATTCACATTACTCTTTTCTACTTTAAACTTTGCGCATGTTCAGGTCAATGAACATGCGCAAGGATATGGTTAACAATATTCTCTGTTTTTCTTGTACTGATTGTGTATTATAATACAGTTGCTAACAATGTTGCCCAGGCTTTGGATGTTATTTCATTAGAGAAATAATAGCAATTTGACAAGTAAATCACCTTTAAAGTGTTTTGAGTCTTTGTGCTTTAAAATGACAACCCCATCTTACCTCCAGAATGTCAATGAGAACATTCTCCTCTGGCTGCTTGGTGCTGCGAACATTTTCCAGGACGATGGAGTAGTAG